TCCTCATTCCTTCTCCTGTAGAGCCTCATTCCTACTGAGTTTAGTTTCGACACACCTTAGTTTAGGTTCGACACACCTGGCTGTTATTAAAGTAAATGCAAAGACTGACTAGTTGATTCAGGTGCATTTAATTCAGATCAAACTAAACTCTGTGGTAAAGTGACTCTCCTGGACTAGGATTGGGGAACCCTGATAATGAAATGCCTACTACAGGGGTAGGCAAGTTCAGTCCTTGAGAGTCACTGTCCTGCAGAGTTTAGCTCCAACCTTAAACAAACACACCTGAACAAGCTAATCAGTGTCTTCAAGATTACTAAGGCTATAGGCAGGTGAGTTAGGTTGGAGCTAAACTCTGCAGGACAGCGGCTCTCTAGGACCGAACTTGCCTACCCCTGTTAATAATAATACATTTTATTTGTAACACACTTTATATTCGAACAGAATCCCAAAGTGCTACAGATTAAAACAAAAAAGAAATGTTAGGAATCAATCAAAGGCTCTGCTAAAAAGGTAGGTTTTGAGGCCGCATTTAAAAGCATCCACAGTCTGTGGAGTCCTCAGAAGGTCAGGGAGAGCATTCCGCAAGCTCGGAGCAGCTGAGCAGAAAGCCCGATTTCCCATAGTACGAAGCCATGTATGTACTGATGGGTAAGGAGGGAGACCTTATAAGCAATCCTGAATGAAATAGGAAACCAGTGAAGTGATTTGAGAATGGGGGTGATTGGTCGTATTTGCGTACCCTCATCAGGATCCTAGCAGCACTGTTCTGAATGTACTGCAATTTCTGTAGGCTTTTGCCAGGGATCCCGATGAGGATCGCATTACTGTAATCCAGCCTAGAGGAGACAAAGGCGTGGACAAGTGTAGACTAACCTAATCTTGACAAACTATATATCATTCTAAAGGTCTAAGCCTCAAGCATCGACGGTAGATCGCTGTTTTTCAATGGAAAGCTTACGAGGAATGTATTTGCTAAATATGTGTAAGCAGTACACATCAAATCATGCATAATAAAAACGAAGTATGTACCAGTTTCATCGCAATAACGAGTCACAAGCACATCCTGCTGTAAATCCCGGTTTAGTTAGAAAGGCAAGGTTCCACTGAACAACATCCCATAGAGCACTTTTAGTCTAATGAAACAATAACGTTGTAATATGGATGGTTATTCTTTTGTTTACGTCACATTTCTTTGGGGAGAGTTATTGTTTGTATCCGTTATGGAGTAACTTACGCTCAAAAAACTGCGTCTTGGTAGTAAAAAACAACATGGTTTTGTAGCATACAAGTGTCACAAACAGAATGAGACCATCCACTAAAAAAAGTCAAAGATATGTGGAATCTTGTTTATTTGAATTCTGGCGCTCTTTTGTGACTGCTCGTGATGCATGCTGTGACGCACCTGTCATCTGTTGGGGCGTAACTTAGCGATCGGCTTTTTGCACAAATTCTTCTTCTTCAACATTTTTCATATATGTGTGTGTTTTTTGTGGGGAATGTGGCTGTATCTGCATGATTATCATCTGTATGACCGAACATCAGTGTGTGATTACTGTCTGTATGACAGCTATCAGTGTGAATGCGGTCTATATGAACGGCCATTAGAGTGTGATTATTGAATATATGGCCGGCCATCTGTATGATTACCATCTGTATGACCGGCCATCAGCATGTGATTACTGACTGTATGAACAGCAATCAGTGTGAATGCTGTATGTCTGGCAATCAGAGTATTTACTTGACATACAAAGCTAATTCTTTTTTTTCTCGCTCTTCAAACATTCAGTGTGGTACAATTTTTTTCAAGGCACTTCAGTGTCTATAACTTTTTATCTTTTTGAGCGTTATCAACTCTGGATGATGAATAGTAAAGCCTAAAGTGCCGTCTTTCCAAAGATACTTAAATTGTGTGTGTAGCACACTGTTGTCAGTAACTGTAACCATTTTAAGTTAGGTAGGCCATAAACAGGATGGGGACAAGCACTGAGCCTTGAGGGACACCACAGACAGCACGGACACATTTGTGACCCTGACCAGAGCTGTTTCCGTGGTGTGGCTAGAGCGGAAACCAGACTGGAATTTCTCAAACAGGTTGTTTAGTTTTAAATGGACCAGAAGTTGTGCAGCAACTACTTTTTCCAGCACTTTAGAAAGGAATGGAAGGTTAGAGATGGGCCTGTAGTTGGCAAGGACTTCTGGTGTGGCCTGATGACAGCAGTTTTCAGTGTAGGTGGAACATGGCCAGCCTGGAGCGAGTGATTGATAACCTTAGTAATCAAGGGACTTATGACACAAAGTTTAGATTTCACCATGGCTGTAGGAAAAGGGTCCAGGGTCCAGGGCGCAGGTGGACGGTTTCATCTTTCTGATTATGTCCTCAACCTCTCGCTATGAGATGTCAGAGAAACAGCAGAGAGGTAGGGGAGTCCCAGGCTGTGAATCGGCAGTTGGGACAGGCAGGACAGAGGAACTGAGAGGAGCGAATGGTGTCTACTTTTTTCCTGAAAAAAGTGATAAAGTTGTTGCATCTCTCCTCTGCAGCTTATAAGTGAGAGTGAGCTTGCGCTTTAAGGATGTAATTTATTGTAGAGAAAAATTGCTTGGAGTTTCCAGGGCTATTGTTAATTATATTAGAATAGAACTGTGACCTTGCATCTCTAAAGAACTTTGCATAGGCCTTCTGATGCTTTCTGTAGGCCTGCCTGTAAACAGTGAGTCCTGTGACCTTTAGGCGCAGCTCAAGGACACGTCCAGCTGTCTTCATCTTCCACAGTTCACAGTTAAACCACAGGGCTGAATGGAAGAAGGGGACTGTTCTAGTTCTGACGGGCATGGAAATCTAGGAGACTGCTTAGAGATCTATTGTAGAAGTCAGCCGACTCAGTGACAGAAGAGAAATCAGCAGAGGAGAGATGCTGAAGATCTATAGTTAAGGTATCCAAATTGATCTTTTTCAAATTCCTGAAGCATATTTGACGCTTTTCTTTATTATGGGAAAAAGGGATTAGCAACTCCATTGAAATGTCCTCATGGTAAGACACACCCAAATCATACACCAGGAGGTTACTAATGGGGGCGGAATTTGAGCTGACCAAGTCCAATGTGTGTCCCCTAGAATGTGTGGGAACATCAACGTGTTGTTTGGGGGGCCAGTAGATGAGAAGTATTGTCATAGGGAAAGGAGGTTTACATTTAAATGCAAGACATTCAAATGAGGACAGTGTAGGCAAAGGGAGGGGGCATAGCTCCAATTTCTGTCAGTATATTACAGCTAGGCCGCCACCACGACCAGTAATATAGGCTTTCTCCAGATAGCTGTAGCTGGGGGGACAGACTTCATTTAATGCTGAGTAGACCTCTGGCTGATGCCATGTTTCTGTTATGCACATAAAGTCTAAACCCTTTTCCATGATATGGTCTTGTATGAAGGATGACTTATTTGAAAGGGATTGTGCGTTAAATAGTTATAGGAATCCACTTTACGTTTTCTATCCTGCTTGGTGTACAAAGATCTCACAGTGTTTCCTATACAGTCCAGCTTAGCATGTGGAAATCTCGCGGTGATGCCCGTCTTACTAACACCGAGAGCAGTATTGCTCTGATGACATGGCAAACGTGAGACATCGGTCCAGATAGATGGAATGGCCGAAGCAGAGCGGCCAGGCTAATGGTAAACAAACTTTCGACAGGAACTTCTGTGGATGTATCGCGGTCGGTGCAGGAATCCAAGTTCTTTAATGGCTGCAATACACGTTGGAGTGGTGTGGTTGTTGAGATTCAGCAGCTGTGGGATGGAATACTTGAGCCTCATGCCGGTCACCGAAAGAGTTCGGCTGAAGCTAACCAAACAGAGATGATCAAAACTGTCAAGCACAGCGAAAAACTGGACCATAACATGGCAATGAGGTACAAGAGTCACCACACCGGAACAGCTAAGTGGCTGCCCAGAGAGTATACCTCGCAGTAGCAGCACTGAACGACAGAGAGATCCAGGTATTCTCCCACTGACAAACAGAGAATGACCAACGATGACAATAGCCTTTAATTTTAGTAACAGTCTGTACAAAAAAGCAAAAACCTAAAAAAGTGAGCGACAGAGAAAGCGGTAGAGAAGCGGCGAACAGTAAGTGTCAGCGTCCTCTCCCTGCTGCGACAGTCTCATCAGTCTGTCTCCACAGTCTATCACCTGTTCTACTAGAAGTCAGTCTCAGACAAACACTCAAAGAATACAAGAGAAGCGGGACAACAAGCGGGTCTTAAAAACTGCAGTAATGCTGCATCCTAATTACTACTCCTGTACTGCAGGACTGAAAATTGTCCAGATTTACAGTTCCTTCATGATCACACTGATCTGTTTTTTAAATGGAGTGGTGCTTCAGTCTTCCCACGTACACACACACACACACACACACACACACACTTTTCCATGGTTTCCATGTTTTACGGGGGCTCATAATGGTTTTTCTACTGTCCAGACTGTATTTTCCATCCCCTTACCCTAAACCTACCCTTCACACAAAACTACAGGCATTTTTACATTTTCAAAAAACTTAATTCTGGTTGATTTTTAAGCTTGTTTCCTCATGGCTTCCTAAATTTACTGGTATTACTATTTTTGTGGGGACATTTGGTCCTCATAACGTAGGGAATACCAGGTACACACACACACACACACACACATATTGAGGAGGTTCTGGCTCGTCTCAGCGGTTCGGCTCATCGAATCTGACGGCTGTAATTACAGTGTGTGTTTAATCGAGTCCTTCTCTTTACAAGCTTCAGACTTCAAAAAGCTCCTGCTGTCAGCCAGCACTGCTGCTCTAAACACACACACACACGCTCTTGTGCATAATAAACCCATGTGAATGAAGCGTCGTGGCCTGCTGGTGTCCAGCGGAGTGATGTATTCCTCTGAGATCGATCAGACACTGTCTTTGCGCTGCCCTTCAGCTGTTTTCTCTGTGAAGGACTGAGTGTTTTCTCTCTGTGTTGCTGTGCAGGTTTTGGGGACGCCGTCGGAGGAGACGTGGCCAGGTGTTCACTCACTCCCGCATTTCAAACCAGGTAAACGTCCTGTTCATCTGACTGTAAATGACACACACTGACGCGCCCTTGAGAAAGCGTCCCGTATGTCCCTCATCCTCCTGGAGGCGAGACGTGTGCCAGCAGATGAGCTCTGGGAGCTCATTAACACTCACACACACAGATCTCACTCAACAACACACATATGAGCACTAGAGACTGTAAAAGAAATCGTTGCTACTTCTAAAAGTATTTTTTGCAATTACTTTTGGTTAACTGCAAAAAAACTGCAAAACTCTCCTGTCCGCTCGTGCGTTATATTGCACATCATATGATAGCATGTGTGATGAATAGAATGAAGTTGTGGCATCCCAAGATGCATTGCTTCAGGTTTGATATCACTGACATGAAGCATCATTGGTTCTCTCGACTGATCGTCATTGATGCCGAATCGGACCTATTTTGAGATGCAAAAATTGATTGCCTTAAACACAGAATACGGCTTCAGAATATTGTGAGCCGAGATTACTGCACTTTTTTATTAAATTAGGCAAATTATATAAACATGCAACAGGTGAAAAATGAACAGAATGTACATTGTAATGTACAGTGTGTTATTATTAACAAAAAGCTAATAAAAAATGTTTTTGGTAAATTAAATAAAGCTGTAATAAAATCTAAATATTACAAGAAATAGTTGAACTTAACATATTAGTGCTTAAAAGTACTACAAAGACTAAAACTAAAATTGAAATAAATATTAAAATAAATTAAATGAAAATTAAATAAAATAAAGAATTAGAAATAAATGACACAAGCAATAAAATTACTAAAATTAAAGTGAAAACTGAAAATATAAAAAATAAAAACGAATTAAAAATATTAATAGATAGTGTAATAGTAAATAAATAAGACAAAAATAGCATTGTTTATCACACTAAAGGTCAAACATTGGATTATGGGTTACAGAATCTGTTGTTTTAATGCATATTTGAACAATCGTCTGTTTATCCCATGCATACAGAACATTTGCATGCTGCACTCTATATCTGCAGAAATGGTTAAAGTAGCATATGATTGATTGCATGTTATTCATAACTTTGTAAAAGCATGAAGGTCAAACACATTGGATTATGGGTTACAGAATCTGTTGTTTTAATGCATATTTGAACAATCGTCTGTTTATCCCATGCATACAGAACATTTGCATGCTGCACTCTATATCTGCAGAAATGGTTAAAGTAGCATATGATTGATTGCATGTTATTCAGAACTTTGTAAAAGCATGCTTACATACTATTACTAGCTCTGAGATATCTTTATATGATAGTAAAACTAGTATGCTAGTATACTATTCTGAATTCAGCCTTTGGCATTATTTGATCAGACTGCCAGACGTTTTTGATACAACATTACACAAAAATGCAAAAAAAATCTTTATATATATAAATTTGCAGTATGTCATATACAAATATATATTATAGAAATTATATTTTTTTGCTGAGTTAAACATGACAGCAGCTTCATGCATCCTGGTGCAGTGTATATGCAGCTCAGTATGTACTTTACAGTGTACGTCTCGGGTTACTTGACTGTAACCCTGTTCCCTGAAAAAGCGGGAACGAGATGCTGCGTATTAAACGCTAATGCGAACATTTTTTGTTCGACCGGTTGTGAAGCACGTGTGTCAAACACACCAAGAATTGGCTTAAATAACCTTGGTGAGTTACGTAATTGATTACGTGCACCTGCAGGTTATAAATAGACGTGAAACGGACATACCTTCAGGTTACGCTTTGTCTGAAGAGACGCCCAGGCACGTCTACAGTGCGGCATTGAGGCACAGCATCTCATTCCCGCTTTTTCAGGGAACAGGGTTTCAGTCAAGTAACCCGAGATGTTCTCTAACAAAAGGTACTCTTGATGCTGCGTATCAAACACTAATGGGAACGAGAATACCAACGCCGCCGCACCGGAAGTGCCTGGACCCCCCAAGGTTGTGTAGTGTGTGCGCACAAACATTGAAATAGGTCTCAGACATGCCTATGGGATGTTGACTCAAGGACATGCGAGCCCGGAGTAGCATGGACATCCAGACTATAGAATCTGACAAATGTGTGCGGAGAGGACCAACCTGCCGCATCACACACTTGCTGCAAGGGAACACTTGCCAAAACCGTAGAAGATGCAACCCCCCTGGTCGAATGGGCCCTAACTCCTAGAGGCAAAGCTTGACCATGCACCTCATAGGCTAGGGCAATTGCATCCCTCACCCAATGTGACATAGTTTGCTTCGTGGCAGCTGCCCCCCGGTTGCGGCCCCCATAGCATATGAAAAGCTGCTCCGACTTACGCCACTGGCTGGTGCGGTGGACGTAAATCTGAAGAGCATGTACTGGACACAGTAAGTGAAGTCTTTCCTGCTCCGTTTTCGTGAACGGCGGAGGGCAGATGGCTTCAAGAACGACCGGATGTATGGTCAAGAATGGAACTTTCGGAAGATAATTAGGGTGAGGATGCAAAATAGCTTTGACCAGCCCAGGGGCAAAGTCTAGGCAGGATGGCGCTACTGACAGAGCCTGCAAATCCCCAATTCTCTTCAGAGAAGTAATAGCCATTAGAAAAACCATCTTTAGGGTCAGAAACCTGACAGGTGCTGACTCTAGTGGTTCGAAAGGGGTCCCGACCAGACCCTCGAGCACAAGCTAAGTCCCATGAAGGGACTGTCGCTCTCGTGGGCGGCCTTAACCGCTTAGCTCCCCGAATGAAGCAGGCAACTAGAGGGTGCCTTCCCACAGAAACCCCATCAGTCAGAACATGGCAAGCCGAAATGGCGGCCACATAGACTCTGAGAGTACCAGGACATGTGCCTGAGGACAATTTCTCTTGCAGGAACTCCAGCACTGAAACAACTTAGCAGTGAACTGGGTCTACATGGTGTGCCATACACCAATTCTCGAAAATGTGCCATTTGAAGGCATAACTTCTTCTAGTGGAGGGAGCCCTAGCACTTAGAATAGTCTCTACTACGTCGGCTGGAAGCCCAGCATCTCTTAGTTGGTCCCCCTCAGGTGCCAGACATGAAGGTTCCAGAGCTCGGGCCGGGGATGAAATACCGTCCCCTGTGCCTGAGATAGGAGATCTCTCCTGACCGGAATCGCCCATGGCGAGCCATCGAGGAGGGATATTAGATCTGAGAACCATACTCTGGTCGGCCAACGGGGCGCTATCAGTAAGAGGCGAGACCCCTGTTGACGGACCTTGGCCAGGACTCCCGGGAGCAGAGCGATCAGGGGAAATGCGTAAAGACCCTGTCTGGGCCACGTATGGGCCATGGCGTCCAGACCCAGGGGAGCTGGAGGAGTCAGTGAGAAGTAGAGGGGACATTGTGCCGTCTCCTGTGAAGCAAAGAGGTCCACCTTTGCTTCGTAAAATCTTTCCCAGATTTGACCGACTACTTCGGGGTGGAGTTTCCATTCCCCGTGTGTCACAGCATGTCTGGACAGCAAGTCTGCTCCCATATTCATATGCCTGGGGATGTAAATCTCCCTGAGGGACAGAAACTTGTCCTGTGCCCAAAGCAGAACCTGCTGCGCTAGCCTGTTCAGGCGGCGCGAACGCAGTCCACCCTGGTGATTTATGTAAGAGACTACCGCTGTGTTGTCCACCCGCACTAGGACATGGTAGCCTCTTAACTGCTGGAGGAAGTATTTCAGGGCCCGAAATAGAGCCATCATTTCGAGGCAATTGATGTGCCAGCCGAGAAGATGACCTCTCCAGATCCCTTGTGCTGGACGGCCATCCAAGACCGTACCCCAACCCGTGAGGGAAGCGTCTAACACGGACCTAGAGTGGGACCTAAAGTCAGAAACCGGGGTCTGAACCACATAGAAAGGGTACGAAGCCCCTGGCGCGTAACCCTTATTTGCCTCTGGGGATTGGCCCTTGGATGAAATCCCCTGGCTCTGAGCCACAACTGAAACAATCTCATGTGCAGGAGGCCCAAAGGTATCACCGTGGATGCAGCTGCCATGAGACCTAGAACCCTCTGAAGGTAATGAACAGTAATTCTCTGGCCTAGCTTGATGTTCTTTAGGGCATTTCGAATGGATTCGACACGTGCAGGAGACAGCTGTGCCTGCATCGTGATCGAATCCCATACAACCCCCAAATACGTAGTCCTCTGGGCAGGAGAGAGAACGCTTTTCTTGGCATTGAGTCTCAACCCCAGAGATTCGAGATGAGCTAGGACGACATCCCGATGTCGAAGCGCAAGCTCTTGAGACTGAGCCAGAATCAGCCAGTTGTCTATGTAATTTAAAATGCGGATGCCCTGGAGTCGCAGAGGAGCCATTGCTGCATCCATGAATTTCGTGTACGTGCGGGGTGACAAAGCTAGGCCGAATGGAAGAACCCGATACTGGTAAGCTTCGCCCCCGAAAGCGGACCTCACTCTGCTTCTGCGACTCTCGCCGCAGAGAAACCGGATTGGGTCGGGGCTGGGTGGCCGACAGCCCTAACGCCTGAGCACGGCGGGGAAGAAACTTATCAAAAGCTTCTGCGTGTCTCTTGGCCTCCCTGAGCCTAGTGACGACCGTATTCATGGAGTTGCCAAATAGGCCAGAAGGTGACACAGGGCATCAAGGAGGAACACTTTGTCCCTATCCTTGATGCCCGTGAGGTTGAGCCACAGGTGTCTCTCCGTGGCAACCAACGCAGCCATAGAACGGCCAATGGCACGGGCCGTCTGCTTGGTCGCACGAAGAGACAGATCCGTGGCTCGGCGCAGCTCTGAAAACGCCTCCTCACTAATACTCCCGTCCGTGCACAGGTCTTTCAGCAGGTCAGCCTGGTACGCCTGCAGAACCACCATGGTGTGCAGGGCAGCACCAGCCTGACCCGCTGCTTGAAACGCCTTCCCCACCAGCGACGATGTTACTCTGCAAGGCTTGGTGGGGAGGTTTGGCTTCTTAAGTGATGACGAACTCCCAGGGGAGAGATAGCCCGCGAGCGTCTCCTCCACCTGAGGCATCGTCACATACACCTGCGCCTTAGCACCCACGATAGTTGAATAAATCGACATCGTGGGTACAAAGATACACGAGGAGTAAGGCTTTACTCCATGAACGAGGCAAATCCTCATGGAGGTCTGGGAAAAAGGGGAGAGATCGATGTTAGGATCATCAGACAAAAATCTGTCGTCTAATTTGGAGTGCCTGGGGTTCTCTTGCTTCTGTGGCCAGTCTAACTTAAGCCTGGCCACTGCGTTAGTCACCACCTCGAGTAACTCCCCAAACGCTTTGTCGTCGCGCGAGGAGCGCTCAGAGGTGGCGCTCTCGGTCTCCATATCGCCGGAGGCAAGAGAACCCGCGTCCTCGTCTCGCTCTGAAGAAGCGCCAGGGCGCGCCTCAGCAGCGGGGGCGGGGACTTCGCGATCTGGGGAGAGCGCGAGAGAGAGAGGAGGCTCGCGCACTCCTCGTCTCTCAGCCAGCTTGACGCGCGAGCCCCACGATCTTAATGAGGACGCCGAGGCTCGCCCCTCTCGAAAGAAAGCGAGCCTCGAGCGGAGCACTCCGATAGGAAATGACTCACAGTGCTCACACTCCGCGTCCTCAAGAGCAGCAATAGCATGCTCTTCCCTGAGGCACTCCAAACAATAATCATGTGGATCATCGTCAAGGATAACTTGTGCACACGGTGGCAAGCATCTCCTAACCGATGCACTAGACATGATCTAATTTCCTTTTTTTTTCTTTTCTTCTTTTCTCAACAACACAGAGGAGACAACACACAGACACAAAGCGGTCTCGAAGACAAAGAAACCTGAAGGTATGTCCGTTTCACGTCTATTTATAACCTGCAGGTGCACGTAATCAATTACGTAACTCACCGAGGTTATTTAAGCCAATTCTTGGCGTGTTTGACACACGTGCTTCGCAAACGGACGAACAAAGAATGTTCTCATTAGCGTTTGATACGCAGCATCGAGAGTAGCTTTTGTTAGGGAACTAGTGTTTCAGTCTGAACGTATCCGGTGAAGACACACTGCCCTCTGCTGAGCGCCGAAGACATCATCAGAGAGAGACAGACGCCTAATGAGCCTGTGTTCTGGAATAAACCGTTGTGCTAATGAAGGTCAAATGGTCTTAGGTGTGAGATCAGAGCACAGAGACAGAGAGCCGATGAGATGCGGTGACCTTAAATAAAAGCGAATTACTGCAGCCGTGAACGTCCCGGTGAACCCTTCAGACAGCGAATCTCCATTAAACACCATCTCTGCTCTGTTAGTCTGTAGGATCCCCATTACATTTAATCAGTAAAGAGAAAAGAGGTTATTTTTATGATGTAGAGCGTTATGTAAATCAGTGTGAATGATGTATGAACAAACCCCTCAGTAAAAGCCTTCTGAATATAGATGGGAATAAAATGTTAAATTCTGGTGTAAGTGCTGCTGAAGTTGAAAAAAGAAACTCGCAGCCTTTAAAGATATGTAAGTAATTGAAATCTACAGACGCAAATAGATGGAGTGTGATAAATTAAACACTTTAATGTGTATTTTGGATGTTTTCTTTCCACTAGACTGAAAGAAGAGACATGATATGAAAAAATCTAAAAATTGTGCTGTGCAATAATGAAAAGAACAGTGGTTTTGCCTGCAGTGTCTTGCCTTGATGAAGGAGTAACTGTTAATAATTGCATTGGTGTAGTTCAGTGCTGTAGCAGCAGAGGGCAGCGTTTACTGGACTGTTGCACTATGAGCAGCTGAGATATCATATAATGCTGTATGAGAGCAGATCAGAGTGTTTTCTCCCTGGTAAAAAAGCTGTTTCATTGTGCTGTTAATGAACACTCACTGTTGATGGAGTGTTAGAGGTAAATTGTGGGTGTTTAATTGCATGTCATGGAGCTGTTGGGTTTTAAATAAGATGCATTGATTGGAAATGTGATGTGATGTGATGTGTGTGTGTGTGTGTGTGTGTGTGTGTACTTACACGTTTCATACCTGAATGCCCGAGCGGACGGTGTGTATTGATCCAGTCCACAGGAGGTCAAACTAATGAATCAACATCTAGAACAAAGAGACTGAGTTCAGAATAACATACTAACATACTACTGATACTGTAACTAACATCTGCTGCTCAAAATTTTGGGATCAGAAAGATTTTAATTAATTAAATAAATAATGCTTTTATTCAACAAGGACGCATTAAATTGATCAAAAGTGAGAGTAAAGACATTTATAATGTTACAAAAGATTTCTATTTCAAATAAATGCTGTTCTTTTGAACTTTCTGTTCATCTGTGAAGATGACACAAAAATATCAAGCATCACAACTGTTTACAGCATTGATAATAATCAGCAAATCAGCATATTAGAATGATTTCTGAAGGATCATGTGACACTGAAGACTGGAGTAATGATGCTGAAAATTCAGCTTTGATCACAGAAATAAATGACAGTTTAACAGATATTCACAGAGAAAACAGCTATTTTAAATTATAATAATATTTCAAAATTTTTACTGTATTTCTGATCACATAAATGCAGCCTTGATGAGCAGAAGAGACTTCTTTCAGAAACATTAAATAATCTTGCCGCCCCCAAACGTTTGACTGGTGCTGTACAGTGATGCACTGATGCAGCTCAGTAGTATTCAGTATGTAGTGTATGTTAGGTGTGTTTTCCACTGTTTATGATATCAGTCTTGATTATGAATCATCTCACTGCAGCATCATGAGTTTGAGTTCTTCATCTGTTGTCTGTGTTTCACCTGCAGATCGATTCACTGTCTACAGTCCCAAGAAACTCAGACAAGCCTGGAATAAGTAAGTGACCTCAACATTTTTATTTTGTATATTTTTTTAATGACAGATTTTTGTTTTGTATAAACGGCAACGTGTTTTAGATGCTGTAATGTCACTATTTATTGTAGGTTTTTCACCATTTGTTATCAAGAATCGACTGAGATGATCTTAATATCTCAGTTGTTTCTCCTAGACAGCAATGATGTTAAATGGAAATTTTGCTTTAATCAGATGTTCCTTCTCAGATGTTTCTCCAGAAAAGACCCCAGTAATCTCACATGTGTCTCCTCTAGAGATCTTGGCAATGTCTCAAACTGTTCTCAGAATCAATGCAATATAATCAAAATTCAGAGATCTCCATATGAACTCAAACTTTTCTCATCAAATTCGATTCTCATCGCATTAATTTCTACAGCGTAATACTTTCACTGTAAGATTATTGACTGAATTGCAGGTTTGCAGTTCACTTAAATAGTCCTTTTGTGTGACAAATGAATTTTAAAAGTACATGTATTCATACTATTACACACAAAAATGTGTCTGTATTTTTAGGTTGTCTGATTGTGTGTTTGTGCAGGTGTGTGTTTACGTGTTTGTATGTTTGCAGTGTTTGGCACAGTGCTGCACCTGCCTTAAAAGGATCGTCACACTCGTCTGTCACATCGGCACATCATAGATGCTACGTAATAATGCTGAACGTTCCCAATCCCAAGAGAAGAGACGAGGGAAGAGCACAACTTTGTGTTTCTCTCGCTCTCGTCTCTCACACAGCGACTTTAAAGCGTAACCTCACACATGTCACATGATCTTCAGAAATCATTCTAATATGCTGATTTATTATCAGTGCTGGAAACAGTTTTTGCTACTTAATATTGTTTTGGAACCTGTGATACTTTTTTCGGGATTCTTTGATGAATAAAAAGTTTAAAAGAACATTTATTCAAAATAGAAATATTTTTTAACGATATAAGTCTTTACTGTTACTTTGTATCAATTTAATACATCTTTGCTGAATAAAAGTATTCATTTCTTTCAGAAATAGAAAGACTGTTTTGCAACATTGATAATAATAATAATTTAGCACAAAATCAGCATATTAGAATGATTTCTGAAGGATCATGTGACTCTGACAGGAGTAGTGGCTGATGAAAATTCGGCTTTGCATCACAGAAATAAATTATGTTTTAAAGTATATTAAAACAGAAAACATTTATTTTAAATTGCAATAATATTTCACAATATTACTGTTTTTTTTCTGTATTTTTGATCAAATAAATGCAGCCTTGATGAGCAGAAGAGACTTCTTTAAAAAAAACATGAAAATTCTTACTGATCCCAAACTTTTGAATGGCAGTGTATATATATATATAGATTTCTCCAGTGCTTCCCAAAGAACCGTCTCTCGGCCCAGGCGGCGCTTCATCACGAGTACTTCAGCCATCTGCCCCCGAGACTCTGGGAGCTGCCTGACAGTCAGTGAACGCACATCACACCACTGCCTCACTGCCATTCATCACACCCTGCCATATTCTACCATACGGCATAAATTACATACATATTACCATAGTTTCATATCATAAATGATGCATGGAATACTCCAGTGACCTGATGCATGTGCAGTACGCAAGCAGAGCACACTGCACAGAATACTGCATCCCATAATGCAATGCAGTGCACTTGACCTTCTATTTACAGTGTGATGAGTGACCCGGAAGTAATATCAACCAATGTTCTTTGTGATGCATTGCTTACTTAAAAAGCCAAAAAATATGTTTATTCAAAATTGGATCAAAAACACAAAATAACCGTTTTTACTGCTGGAACGATAATTGGCCGTGATTCTGAATGAAATATGCAGTGCAGTGAGGTCATGTGACAGTACTGTTGCTGATGATCACACTGTTGTTTTACTTTCGTCTGTCCTTTCATTTATATACATAATATATCTTTTTCATTTGTTTCAATACATTTGAAAAATTATCATTTTATTCATTCATTCATTTTATGTTCTTATATTTTATATTATTTAATTATTATTAATTATCAAACTTGTATTTATTCATTCATTCATGTTCTTTATTTTACTATAAGACGTTTGTCTTTATTTCTCCTATTTATTATTATGCCTGTTTAAAGCATTAAACAATCATGGTATTTCATGGTAGTTTCACTCCATTTTAAAATCAGATTTAGTTTATTATTTAAATATTTTACTTTATGACTTTTTCTTTTATTTTCCTAATTATTGTTATCCTGTTTAAACATTAAATAATCAATTTAATATTTTCTTCACTCCATTAAATCAAACTATTCATTCATTCATTCCCTTATTTATTAATGTTCTTTCATTATTTTACTTGTCTTTATTTCTCCTTTTCATTATGACTGTTTAAAGTCCATGAAATACCCATTGTGTGTGAAATGTGGTATTTAATTGAACTTGCTCTTGCATGTTGCACACTTTCACATTTTTAAAATAGCATCCAGTGTGCAGTGTTTACTGCGCAGTATGCAGTCGAAGTTGATTATTATGTCTGTTTAAAGCCCTTTATATAAGCGCAGTGTATGAGATGTGCTTCTAAATGAACTTTCACATGTTGTTCTGTATAACACTAGGCAGTGTACAGTGTATACTGTGCCGTTTTACAGACATGTGTCTGGAGCTGAATACCAAACGCCGCTCAATTTGAGCTCATTGTGGTGATGCTGATGCTCAGATGTTAATTCACTCAGATTCATGTGTTTCTGCCTCGTCACGCTCTTCAGAAAGAGCTTCAGCAGACTGACATGCTTTCCTGATTTACTAAACCCAAATACTCTGGAAGTGGTTACTGTCAGCAGTGTGGAACTCTTGATTCTGATTGGTCGATGCACGTTTTTCAGATTGTTACAATGTTTCAAATGAGTCCTGCAGAAACAAAAGAACAGAAACAGACAAAGAAACTGGTCAAGCTAATCTGATGAAAAATTGTGATGTTATTAAACATGATGAAAAGTTGAAGATAAATACTGAAGAAGGTGTAAAGACACATGACGCTCCAAACACTCGTATGCACACTGCACAGTATTTAGTGCATACTATTGATTAAAAACAGTGTGCAATCAACATTTCAACAGACGTTTGCTACATATTCGTCATGTGACCTGCTAAATGCATGTTTAGTTATTCATTTAGCTTTTTTCAATTACTAAATGTAGGCAGTCCAATCAAACAGTGATTCAAGAATCAATGATAACCAGAGATTTACTGTAGAAACACTGTAAACCTTCTGTGTTTTGTCATTCTTTGACACATCGATGCTCAGATAGTGTCGAAACATTGTTACACTGTTTCTCAGAATTCCGAGTTTGTATTTTGCAGTTTTGTCCTTTTTTTCGTCTCATAATTCTGACCTTTTCATTAAGTTTATATCTCACAATTCTGACTTTTTTCTCGAAATTGCGAATTTATATCTCACAATTCTCAGAACTGAAAAAAAGTCAGAAGTGTGAGATAAAATGTTGCATTGACCTTTTTTTTTTATTTTTTTTATTTCATTATGGAAATAAGCTTCCACATGTTTGTGTTGAACACCTACAGAAACATGGAGCGGCTGCTGATGATTGGGGTCTTTCAGATTGGTTTTAGTTGTTAGAGTAGCTCAAGGCTTTTGTCCTGTCTGATATGACATGTATCCATAATCCAGACGTCAGACCTCCATACAGGACGCTGTCAGGCCTCCATTAGCAAGCAGCGCAGCTGTAGCGCAGACACGTTCAGTCCTACACATCAGAAAACAGGCGTTCGTGTTAGACAAGCGTCGGGCGAGTCATTTGAATGCGAGAATGAGGTTTTTAATTTCCCAGATTAGGAGCGGCAGCTGAATTAATCCTGTTATCAGCTCACAGCAGGCCGTGCTGGCAGGAGGGAGGGGGTGGGGCTCCGGCGAGGAGGCGGAGCTCTGACACACACACACACACACACACACAGAGCAGCGCCGCTTTTGAAGCAGAAGAATGAAGGGAAAATTAATTCTGTTGTTTCATATACGCTTGCAGTTCAGTCACAAAAGAGAAGCGGCTGCTGCTGGGGAGGACGGGCCGTAATTAACATTTCAGCTCGGGCTTTGATTGATACAGCAATTGCAGCAGGATTTATGGCATTTATTAAATGAAATTTAGTGCAAGCGCTGATGTGTTAATTTATTATGGTTTTATGTCTTTATTAGTGCTGTTTGTTAAGTCAAGCATCATTTTTACTGTTGGGCATATCTCTTGGGCCGGTAAGAAACCACCTACAGTAGAAAAGCCTATTCCTCCATAAATGTTAAGATAAAGGTAAATATATATATACACACATATACACACTCCGAAGTCAGTTTTTCCATTTGTACCTCTTGCACCTGTATTCACTAATACATGAATCAAATTAATTAAATATATTTCCCTTTGACATACTCTACATCTCTCTATATTTTATAGTATTATTTAGATTTTATTATAAATTTAATCACATTTTTTGTGTAAAATTAACTTTTGGCAAGTCCAATGAAAAAACAAACCAAGAATCAATGTTTTGAGAAATACATTTCTGTTTTCAAATATTTGATATCAAATAGTTCAAATAGTGGATTTTAATACTTATACATATACAAGTCTCTTCTGCTCACCAAGGCTGCATTTATTTGATAAAAAATGCAGTAAAAACAGAAATATGGTGAAATATTATTGCAATTTAAAATAACTCTAAGTGAATATCTGTTAAACTGTAATTTATTTCTGTGATCAAAGCTGAATTTTCAGCATCATTACTTCAGTCTTCAGTGTCACATGATCTTCAATAATAAGAAATGTTTCTTGAGCAGCAAATCTTGAGCTGCTGAAAATTCAGCTTTGCATCTCATGAATAAATTACATTTTGCAATATATTCACATAGAAAACAGCTGTTTTAAATTGTAATAATATGGCAAGTCCAATGAAAAAACAAACCAAGAATCAATGTTTTGAGAAATACATTTCTGTTTTCAAATATTTGATATCAAATAGTTCAAATAGTGGATTTTAATACTTATACATATACAAGTCTCTTCTGCTCACCAAGGCTGCATTTATTTGATAAAAAATGCAGTAAAAACAGAAATATGGTGAAATATTATTGCAATTTAAAATAACTCTAAGTGAATATCTGTTAAACTGTAATTTATTTCTGTGATCAAAGCTGAATTTTCAGCATCATTACTTCAGTCTTCAGTGTCACATGATCTTCAATAATAAGAAATGTTTCTTGAGCAGCAAATCTTGAGCTGCTGAAAATTCAGCTTTGCATCTCATGAATAAATTACATTTTGCAATATATTCACATAGAAAACAGCTGTTTTAAATTGTAATAATATTTCAACATTTTTACTGTATTTTTGATTTTGATAAATGCAGCCTTGATGAGCAGAAGAGACTTCTTTCAAAAACATAAATCTTTTGTCCAGTGATATAAGTATATGTATTATTTGTTTATTTATTTATTTTCCTTCAACATACTCTACATCTCTCTTGGTCTTTCTAAAGTCTCAGTGTTTAAAGCTGCTTTACAGGGTCGTGGCGTTTGGTATATAATGCAGTGGAAAGAGCTTTGATGAATTTGTGACGAAATGCTATAATATATGGTTTATTTATTCCTCTCCGCACAGCTGTCATGAAAATTAATTTTGAATGATAACGTGAACTGAAAGTATGCTTCTATAGACGTCATATATATTAATTACTAATCTAGGTATTATTTTAAATCCCTTCTCACAAAAAGAAATGACAAAAAAAATCATTATTCATTATTAGAGTTTTGTTTTAAAAAATATTGTAAAAGTGCATCATATGTTTCTGGAATTCTAAATTTGATAGTTGTAGATTTACTAATTTTGAACTCTATTTTTCTTGTCATCATCATCATCAAAATGTCATTGTTTTACCTCCCTTTCTTTCACATGATGGTGTTATATTTTGCGTCATCTTTTCCCACAGAAGATTTTACATGGAGACTCACGGAGTGAATGTGTCCTTGTTTTTCAGTGTCTTCAATCTTCAGCGTTCCCACCGTTAAGTTACAGCCTGAGTCTGGCGACAGCATCCAGGTGTGCAGTAAGAGCAACAGTCACGGCAAAGCGATGTCAAACAGCAAACACTGACCCGGAGCCAAACAGGTACGACACGTCTGACAGTCTCTGCTGGGGTTTGCTGTGGCACTAGTGTGCGCTTTACTGCATACTGCACACTGTTTAGTGCATACTGTTGATTAAAAACAGAATGCAATCAACATGTTTGCTACATAGCCTTCATGTGACCTTTTCTAATAGCATGTTTAATTCTTTATTTTGCTTTTTAATCACATTTTTGGGGTAAAATTACCTTTGTAGTCCAATCAAAACATGAATCAAGAATCAATGTTTTGAGATTTTTTTCAAATATTTAAGTGAATTTTGAATACATGTACACAAAGAAAGAAGTTTAGTTTCTTCATGGCTGTATTTATTTGATTAAAAATACAGTAAATACACTAAAAATTGTGAAATATATTACAATTTAAAATAACTGTTTTCTATGTGAATATCTGTTAAACTGTAATTTATTTCTGTGATGCGCAGCTGTATTTTCAGCATCATTACTCCAGTCTTCAGTGTCACATGATCTTCAGAAATCATTCTAATATGCTGATTTGCTGCTCGAGAAACATTTCTGATTATTATCAATGTTGAAAAGAGTTGTAGAATTTATTTTGATCGAATAGATGCATAAATATAGTCTTTTCTTTAAAATAAGCAAATGAGAATGATTCAGCTTTGATCACAGCAATAAATTACATTTTACAATATATACAATTATAATAATATTTTAAAATTTGTACTGTATTTACTGTATTTTTAATCAAATACATGTAGTCTTGGTGAGCAGAAGAGACTTTTTTCAAAAACATTAAAAAGTCGTAATTATTCTAAACTTTTGACCGGTAGTGCAAGTGTGAAAAGTGTTGACTTTCATTGTATAGGGTACAACTAAAGGCCCACCTTAAGAAACCGCGCCTAAAATGTATAATTCCAGAAAAAATATATACGTTGTATTGAACATTAATGGAGCAACAAATTTTGTGTTTGTTGTTTATTTTGTTTAAAAATCTTATAAATGTATAAGGTGGCAAGAGGGGCCTTTTTAAATAATGTAAGTTAATACTTGTTCAAAACAATCACTTTAGCAAAGTTT